ATCTTCTTATCATGTTTTTTTAACGTTTTCAACGTAAGATATCTTGCTAACCTGTGAACGCCGTAACAAAAATCAATATCAAAATAAAAGTTTCCAGGTTTGTACTTCTGTACGTCCTGTATTGGCTAAAGTTGCGCTGGTATCATCACAGGAACAATGACAATATAAAAGGCCAGAAGAGGCAGCACGAGCCATGTGCAAACATTAATAATCATCAGCATGGACTGATAATTCCTAGCTAGATGGCCGCTTATCTAGTAATTAAGTTATTAGTCTTGGGTCTTATCCATTTGGTTTTCGTCCAAGGAATCAAAGGTTGCTTTGATGAGGAGAGGAAGGCTCTTCTAGAATTCAAGGCATTTGTTAAATCAGATGGACAAGATGCGGACCATCTTCTTCCTTCATGGGTTAATGAACCAGAGGATGACTGTTGTCAATGGGAGAGAGTCGAATGCAACTCCACCACAGGCCATGTGATCAAGCTCTCCCTTAGCAATACCAGGCAGTTTGATGTATTTTCTTCTAGCTTATATGATCCCCAAAACAGTTGGCATTTAAACATCTCCTTGTTTCAGCCATTTAGGGAGCTAAGAAGTCTCAATTTATCCTTCAATGTAATTGCTGGGTGGATACAGAACAAAGGTAAGCTTTAGTAATTAATACTCCTCAAAGGCTCAAACAATGTTTTATTTGTCCTTGAGAATTTGATATGTATTCTCTGTCGGAAAGGACCCTTTAATTACCTGTACAGTACATGCATGTTGACGTTCAGTGGTGTTTGTCAAATCTTTCCGCAGAATTGTCTGTTCTTGAGAACTTAGAAGAGTTGGATTTAGGATCCAACATACTAAATGGCTCGTCAGCTGAACAAGGTACGTGAATCAATAACGCTAGTTCTTTCACTCCACAACTTACAAATCAAGTTAAAATCATGTTTCATTCAATAAATAACTACTACATTTATTCAAAATTAGTTGTCCATCTGAGTTTGTTTAATTGAACAGTGTAAGTGTAATTGTATTTCCTTCGCTAATACATAGTTCCCTTAATTAGATTTTACAATTTTGTCCAAGTTGAGCAAGTTGAAGTACCTATATTTGAAGGAAAACAATTTCAGTAACGATATTATGAGGATTTTGGGCACATTTCCGTCCCTTAAATTACTTGACATTTCAAGGAACTCGTTAGAAGGACTCCTTTCCAATAAAGGTACATCTCCCATATCCATTTAATTTTTATAGTTAAAATCCAAATTCAAAATGATATGTTTCTTCTTTTATCACTAATTCCATATGAATAACGTGTACAAGAATGGGGTAACTTGAGCAATGTGGAGGTGCTTATTTTGAGTCAGAATAGTCTCAGTGGAAACTTGCCAATTCAAGGTATTAAATAAACTCCCCCCATCCCAATCCCAAATTAATATGACTACTTTGATCCTTTGAAAATCACACTTGACACCGTTATTCTTGTTCATCTATTCATAGGTTTGACAAGACTGAAGATATTAGATTTGAGCTGGAATCAATTCAGCGGGGGCATTCCCGCATCTGTTGCGACACTTCATTCTCTACAAGCATTGTCTTTATCTTCTAATTATCAACTTAATGGCTCCCTACCACATCCAGGTATGTAATGTAAGATATTGATTTAATTTTAATTTTCCCCTTCACAAACATGCAATCATGGTTGTTAAAATCGAGTTTTAAATCATAAAATCTTATGATTTTACAATTTTAGGTATGTAATTCTAGTAAAATCTATGTTAAAATCGAAATTTCATAAAATTGGAGGATAAAATCATAAAATTGTGATTTTATGCTAAAATCGTTTGAAATTTCGATTTTACTTTTATGGAGAGTGAAGAAGAGGCTTCCAGAAATCCAAACATAAATTTGATCTCTGATCTAGAGTGTGACCAATCAAGAAATTGCATATGAAACTAGAAGAAACACAAGGCAGAAACCATTTGTATACCAACATAGATTTTTACAAAAAAAAAAAAAAAATCTGTATACCAACATGCAACATAGATGCAAAGAAACTGGAAACTGGTACCGGAATATATTCTTAAGAAAGAAATTTGAGGCAAGCTTGAGACGGAAATTTTCGAGAAGGATCGGTGGCTGTGGTGGTAGACAGTGGACTTCATGTCCACCAACGATGATAATTCAAAGGATTCGAGGGATTTGGGTGTCCTCTGTGATGATTTTCACTGCTCAAGCAAAGAAGGATAAAACCTGTTGCCAAAAAAAAGGACTAGATAAGAAGAAAAGGAGTTTGAATGGAGGAAAAATGGTAGAGAAGAGGGAAAATTACAGCAGAGAAACCAAGGAAGGTGAAGGGATGGAGGGGTATTCATTTTAATGGAGATTATGTTGGCACGTGGATTGGGGGTTTTCTTTATATATATTTTGTTAATTTTTAGATAAAATAAGTAAATGTGGTTTAATTTAAAGGTTAAAACTTCATTTTGATCCCTGAATTATTGTATCAACCCTTGATTTGGTTTATAAACTCAAAAAATTCCTAATTTGGTCATTATTGTTTACCATTTTTACCCAAATTTAATTATTCTATTAAAAATCTACCCACGTGTTCGTTGACTAACAGAAACCTAATGTACATGTCAAAACGTTATGTCCATGTGCAAAGCCAGCTAGCAAAAAAATAATGATTTGGCAATAAAAAATTTAAAAATTCTTTCTCTTTCATCCTTCCCTTTCTTTTTCCTCTTTCCTTTGCTTGCCTCGCCTTCTTCTCAATCAATTCTGCTTCTTCATCAATTAGTTTGTCATCATCAAACAACACCACAAAAACATAGAATTTTTTTTTTTTAATTTTTGCCGATGAACCCAGTGTCGAGTTCAAATTCTTCTTCATTAATCAATTTATCATCATCATCAAACAACACCCACAAAAACATAAAAATTTTCTTTTTATTTTTGCCCAAGAACCCAACGCTTGGGTTCGATAAACTCGGCGCTAGGTTCATCAGGTTCCAAGGAACCCAAAGCCTGGGTTCGATCAAACCCAGGCGTCGAGTTCCAAGGAACCCCGAGCCTGGGACACGTCATGCAATTTTTAACAGAAAGATCAACTTGGGGTAAAAATGGTAAACAGTAGGAACCAAATCAAGGATTTTTTTAAGTTTATGGACCAAATTGAGAGTCCGTACAATA